GGGAGGGGAGGGGAGGGGAGGGGAGGGGAGGGCAAAGCTAAGACCATTCACACAATATATGTTGAAGCAGACCCTCAAAAATATGACATACAAATTACAAAAGATATTATTTTTCACAGGAAAAGGACTATGTTTCAGAAAATAGTGGATGCCACTGAAAAAATACAAGATGAGAATGATGTGATTAAATATGTATCTATGGACCCAACCAAAAAAGAAGTAATCATGTAGGTCAATTTAGTTTTACTCTTCCTGCAACATGGAATGTACTGATTTTTTTTCCTATCTAAATCTATTATTTTTATTTAAAGGGCTATGATGATGACTGGTTGTGACCTTTCTGCCATCACTAAACCTTGGGAGGTACAAAGTAAGGTGGGCACCATAAGAATCAAGCAAAACTTAAAATTTTATTTATACTTCTAAATTATTTGTTGTACTTGCAAAGGAATTTGGACATAATGTAAAAAGGAGAAATTCAAGATTTTTTTTTTTTTTTAAAGGAGAAAAACTCCCTTAAGAATAGTCGTAGATCAGACCAAAGCTCCATCTAGCCCAGGGGGACACCATCTCTTTCAGGCTAAAGGCCATACTAGACTCTAAATGCTGGCAACCGCATTCAAAAACTAGCGTGATCAGATCAAAACCTAATTTGGTGTAATACAATTCAAGTTCATTCATTTAATGAAAAGACCACTTTGGTCAATTTAAAATTACAAATAAGTGGCAAATATTAGTTGAGCTAGGGGATGGGAGTTCACACTCAAACTTTTCAAGATCTGTCTGTCCTGAGATTTGGGTCATCTGGGATTGTCTAAGGCAGTGTTTCTCAACCTTGCTGGCTGGGAAATTTTTGGAATTAAAGTCCACACATCTTAAAGATGCCAAGGTTGAGAAACACTGGTCTAAGGAATCTGTTTGCAACACTGATTGTCAAAGATTCTGCTTAACCATTGTTAAGAAAATCTCTTCCTTGGTTTTATTGTCCCCATCAATTGCCACTTAGGCCTGTCTGTGGCCAGTTTTCTATCTGTCATATCCAATCTCCCTTTCAAGCCACTGATCATAACTATAACTTGCAGTGAATTGCATGGTGAAAACCACATCACTTATGAATCTGGAATACACTTGACAATCATCTGGTCAATGTTTAAGTGATGACACCATTTCTAGCAATGGAAACAAGGAACACATTTATTAGATCTACATCCCAATGTTCTATTTAAGAAATTGTCTCCACTCATTTTTACAAACCATTTTATTATCCCTTTATAAGTATCTATTTTCTATTTCTTCTTTGTTCACATTTTCTAAAAATAAAAAAAGGTTCTAAAGTGTTACCATTCTTTCATAGAAGAGATGCTTTTTCCTTTTCTACAATATCCTTTTACATGGGGCAATCAAATATAGCAAATTTGGCTACATTAAAATATAGACAGAATTATGCTCCTGGTCACTTCCTTTTGTTAAGAATTTTTAAGAGAGCTTTTCCCTGGTTTTCCAACACTACATGCTGACCTAGTAGTTAGCAAGGCCAAGGTCAGTTCCCATGTGCCCCTCCCCAGTATGTACCCCATTTAAAACAAAAACATGATTAATTTTAAACAAAATACATGTTCAAAAGCAATTCAGTTAATTCTGCTTGCAAACTTTCTTCTGTGGCAGCTTCAAATACATTTTACAGCAAGGATTTTGAGTACTGATGGTAATTACTTATATGTAATATTTAACATTTAATAGGCAAGTGTTGATCTTAGAAGGTTGAGGATGTGCAAATGATCACAGGTAACTGTCTACATCCATCCTACTAGATGACAGATGGGACAAACTGAGCCTGATGGGAAAATGGATACATGCTTTGATGGAGGACAGGACTGATTACTCTTCTAGCTGACCATTATTGGAAAAACTTAAAATAAATTATTATTCATTCCCAGGTTGCCATCATGGTTGCAAATGAATTCTGGGAGCAAGGTGATCTTGAACGAACTGTCTTACAGCAACAGCCAATTGTAAGTAGTTTATTACATCACGCAGCACTGTTTCAATCTTAAAAATAGTCGATCCACTTACATACCCACTAGTTACAGAGAGCCAGTTTGGTCTAGTGGTGAAGGCACCAGGCTAGAAAGCAGGAGACTGTGAGTTCTAGTCCCACCTTAGGCATGAAAACT